TTGGTTGCTCTCTGTGGGGGGCAGGTTGCTCCGGGCATTGGCCAGATTGAGCAGCTCTAGGCTGAGCTCTTCGTTCTTCGTGACCTGCCAGGTCAAACAAGAAGGAAAGAGCTTCTGAAATCCCTCCTCGCTGGCTCCACACGCTGTCTGTTCAGCACATACCCGCTGCTCTTGGTGCGTACACAAGGCAGGCACTCACATCCCTTCCTGAAAGCAAGTTTTATTTTTAGTTCTCTCTCATATGTCCAAAGATATCAGCGATTTTCTAATTCTCATGGAAATGCAGGGTAAGTATCATCGCCAGGCATCAGGATTATTCACATGTAACCCTCTCTGCCCATCTCGCTCTGGCAGTCGGATACAGATCCCGGTGCCAGCCCAGCCCCGGGCACGGCTCCGCCACCACCTCTCCGTCCCGGCCTCCAGCCTCCCTCCTCACTCCAACCCTGCACCCTCCCAACGCTTCAGGCATGGCTTTTCCCCGTACAACGCCTTGGAACAGCGCTGGCCTCCATAACGTAAAGAGAAGGCCCAAATTTCCATCCATCTAGGCTGACGCCACCCAGCTAATTCCAGTTTCGTTTGAATGCATCCCTCCAGCAGCAGCCAGCCCACAGCACCGTGTAGGCAGCGAGATTCAAAGCGCGGTGCTGGTGTGAAGTGACACATTTCCAAAAAGATAAAGAGGATCTGAATGAGAAAGGCTCTGTTACAGGTGATCTGGAAGGAACACTGGGGGAATTCATGTCTCACGGGAGGGTTTCTATGTAGATAACAAAGCTTTGATGGGGTTTATGACTGGGGACAAGCTTGAGTAATTGTTACCATGGCAGTGAATCGGGAGGATGGGAGGCAGAGGTCATCTGAGTCATCCGTGGAAAGAATAGCTTATCAAAAGATAGCACAGGGTGGGCTGAGGGAGAGAGGAGAGGAGAAAAGAGGCTGACAAAGAGGTGAGATATACAGCTGTGAAAACTGACAGCTACGCAGAGACAGGCTGCTTGTTCTCCAACCGAAAACCATCCATCTGCAGCTGTCAGGCCCTGACAATTTGATCAGAGGGGGTCACACAAGCGCAGAAGCACCAGCCCGGCCAAAGAAAGAGGCAGTCCCAGGTTGGCGATGGGCTTCGCTGCCTCCCCTGGCCCCGCTCCAGGGAAAAGCCCGGCGTGGAACCGGTTCGCAGCCATTTGGGTTCCCTCCGACGGCCTCGCTTTGTACCGCCGATGCAGACGGCGTAAGCCCGCTGAACAAAAGAGGAGGAGGAAACGGAGAGTCGGGAAAAGGTCAGAGTCTTGAAAAGGAAGAATTTACAGCGAGTTAGAAAACGGGCACAAAGTGACTGAGCGGCATCTTCTGGAAGGCACTTCCCCAGGGACAGGCAAGGCCAGCTCCGCCGCGCTCCTTCGCCTGGGACAGACACAGGGCGATGTGTGAATCGAGCCGTACAATGGGGGCCGCGACAATTCAGAGGCTCTAACTGTTCCCGCACAAGGGGCCGTGAATGAGCTCGCCGAGCTGCTTCTGCGCCAAGCAGCCATGACAACATATTGGCAAGGTCACAAGTAGCACTTGTAATTGGGAATGTGTAAAAGGTTCATTGTCTCCCCAGAAGAGCGCCGGGGAAGGGGAGGGGGCAGAACCGCAGGCTGCTTTTCCCATTTCCTTTGGGAAAGTCCACACTGGGAAAATAATGAGCAAGAGGCCCATGCCGCGACAAGTCCCAACCTGCCAAGTTGGAGCCTCTTTTGCTTCAGGCAAGGATATTCGGTAGCCGGAGCCAAGAAACTGGGGTAAAATCCTCAGTCTATGAATTACAACCGAGGAGTTCACCTTTGGCTCCTGGACCCTGTTCCATTACTTCTTCAGGATGCTGTCCAGGCACATAACTGAATCCGTGTGCTTTCATTCTCTGAAAGATTCCAGGATCCATGTGAAAACGGGGTGTTATTACCACCAACCTGTTAAACCCATCATTTAGTGATGTCAGCCACCCGAAAATCCACTTTTTGACAAACACATTGCACCCCCTTGGGGACAAGAAGCAACCAAGATTGCTGAACGCCGAGCTATTCCTCCGCAGCCTGGCGGTACCGCGTCTCAGCGGCGCGCTGCCTTGCTGACAGTCAGCCGCACGCGCTCTGCCTCGTGCTCCGGACGACGGGGTGGGTTCACACCCATGCAAGCAGCTGAGCTTGCCTCCTCCTAAGAAATTTTAATTTTTCACCTTACAGGAGACAAATGATAGCTTTGCAACAGTCACTAACTCACTTATTTGCAACAGGATGATTACGACCTCGTATCCTTCTCGACCGGAGCTCTGCAGATGGATGCTCAACGTAAAGAGAGACTGGACGCTGCCTAAACCAGCACACCTGGCGCCAGCCCCACAACTTCCCACCACAGCTCTGCGCAGGGCCAGCAGGGTAAACCAGGCCATTTGGCCACACCAGCTGAACTATCTGCCGGGGAGGGAGGCAGGAGGGTGTCAGTCATCGATCCAACTCAAAAAGAAGGAGAAGTGGGAGGGGGGAGAGGGATGGAAGAGAGGAATGTCTGTTGAAGTAGCTATTCTTGCCGAAGAAATACACAAATCCGGGTCCAAAAGACTTTAGTTAAGAATCACTAAGCTAAGAGTCACCAGGCAATTCCCTATATTTTAAGGGACAATCAGAAACTTGCTTACGTTCAGTGTTTTTATAAACTTGCTGACCTCAAAAACGCCCAGGCCCCTTCCCGCCGCCCTACGAAATGAGAGCGACTACAATCAGTTCACGTGCAGCCTGCGCAAGCCATGCAGAAAAAAGGGAAACAAAGCGTGCTGGCAGTCAAGAGGGACCCGCAACGTGCACTCGGGCCAGCCCCGCCGTGACCTCCTCGTTACTGCTAGTGACAGGGATCCGGGACGGCGTGGAAGGAGAAAGGCTCTGACAGCAGGGCGCCCAGAAGAGCCTGGCGCACGGGTCAGCGCGGGCTAGGCACTGTCACCGCTGAGCAGGGCAGATTCTGCAAGCCCTGCTAGAAGGTGACCGTGTTACGTGAAATCCCCGGGGTCCTGAAAAGAAAACCATGCCCAAGCTACGCTGTCTCACAGCTGGCAAACGGTACCGGACCTGAGCTGGGACGTGGATACGCAACCCAAAGCCAACCAAGCTGTCTGTAGGCCAGGTAATCACGCGACGGAGTCGAGAACACCAGAACCAACACTGCAGCCTGTCTCACCTCCTGCTCCAGTTCTTTGCCTAGGGCCAGGTAATTGCTTTTCAAAATGATGTACTCATCCGCCAGCTCCTTCCGACTGCTCTCCAGAGCGTGCAGATGTTCCCGTAAGGCATCCCGCTCCCCAGTGACTTTCTCACTGCAGAGCTCCAGCTCCAGCACGCGGTTCTCCAGGGCCAGGATCTGCAGAGGAGAGGCAGCAGAATTAGACTGTGGCAGAGACCAGCAGCAATCACAGGGCATTTATTTGGCCAAACAACTTCTGGCATGCTACAACTTAGAGAGGGACGAGTTTCACGGTATCTGGGGCATCGTGGGGGGAATTCATTGCTCTGGCTAAAGCCAAGAGAATACACCAAGCAAAGCAAAGATGGATGCGTAATGAACTGCGGTTCTGGAGAAAGGTATTGTCAGAGATGAATCAATTTTACTTCAAGCTTTCTGATACCATATTTTTCAGTTCAAAGTTCTCCGTCTCATACTGTTCCTTCATTTTGTTTGTCTCAATCTGGAGATCAACAAGGTCTTTGGAAATCTAGGAGAGAGAAAGGACATTATAAAGGCCACGGACCGATTCTGAGGTGCTTCAACAGGTCGCACCAAGGAATTTGGGCACAACACGTACACCCCTAGACAGCTGCCCCAACATTGCCCACCAGATTTTCCGCTGCAGATCTACTACCCTCAGATGGCTTCATGGCTCAGCTCTCTCCAACTCCTAAAGTATTTGTTTTACCTTCAGTTTTTCCTCTTCCCTGAAGACCATTCTGGCTGCCAAATCTGTTCTGGAGCCAGCCAGCTTCCCCATCCTCTCCTGCGGGTCTCCGAGCGCGTACGGCCTCTCGTTCCTGTCCTGCAGCTGCACCTAGAGCCACACCACAGCTCAGACAGCGGGTGCCAGCCAGCAGATCCCTCCTCTCCCCCACCCTATGCTCCCACCCCAGTGCTGGTTCGGTTTGTTTTTTTGTTTATCCAGTTTTTCAGAGCTTGAACAAATTGTAAGGGGATTTTCAGCTGCCGTTTTCCTCCTGCGGTTAGGATTTCATTTGCGGTGATGGTTCCATGACCCAGGAAGGGGCTGCAGACCTTCATACTTATACATTCGTTAGCAAGGTGTTGCATGTGTGCTCTCAGAGTACTTACGTTCTCATTCTCTGCAAAATCCATGTGCCTGGAGTCCCAGATCTTTGCACGATATCAGGCAGGTAGTGGCTGAAGAGCAAAGGAAGGATCTCAGGATCTCTACGGCAGCAATTTTTCCCTCGAGGTAGGGCACAAGCGATGTTGCTAACAACTTTGGTTACTAGCGGGTGCAGCATCCACCTTGATCCACCTTAAGGTGGAGCCAATTATTACAGCCACCCCAGGAAAAGAAACAACACTTGTCGGGAGGCTTCTGTATTGCTAAGGCAGCGCACAGCAGATACGGAAACAAGATGCTTAGCAGACACCCCCAGTGAAGCACTATTGCCAGCTAGGAGGCACCACTCCATTTATATTATGGACCATTCCCAAAACCTGGCTGTAGGGACGGCCTCCATCTCTGCTGCAGGGATCTTTAGAGAATTTAAGATCTGATTAACCCATTAATTCATAGAATCACAGAATCATTAAGGTTGGAAAAGACCCTTAAGGATCATCGAGTCCAACCGTTAACCCAGCACTGCCAAGGCCACC